AACAACAACAACAACAACAACAACAACAACAACAACAACAACAACAACAACAACAACAACAACAACAACAACAACAAAGATCAGACATCAGCTATTGAAATAATGGCTAGAAATAAACTAATTACAAATATGTTTTGGAAAGACCTTAATAAGATACCATTTTAATTTAAAAGGGGTAAAAATCCTAACAAATCTATCTACAAACCCATCTTGCAAATATCTGAAATGTAGGAATTTTAATTCAGATGTCCTCAACGCTCATTATCGATAAGAGATACTGAACATGTGAAGGTATGTTCTCTCTTGTAAACTGAGTCTGGAGGCTCAGTGGGATTAACTTGTATAACTAAAGGTTGAATGAATGAATATGGAGCTGAAGCTCAGCACACATAAATGAGGTCATTTTACTTGTCCTATAGGAAGATTAATGCTTGAAATCTGAAATGTTTACACTGGCTAGAAAACCATTCTGGATTTGTTTATTTTAACCAGAAAATGTTGCAAACTGAAATACACACGGTCTACAAATTACACATTAATTATGTACCTAAACCTAATTTCTACATATATTCTCAAAGGTTTTACTTCTGATGTACCTTTTACCCCGTTTTGCACGCACTGAAAGACCTATTTTACAAGTACAAATGCTAAATTAGATGTCTAATGTAGGTTTGACTAGTAGTGCTGTTTTGAATGGAAGAAATGCTATCTCTGACATCTAAACATTAGCACGGTTTAAATATATAATGCGAAGGCTTGTGGTACAAGGCCTACAGAACCTTGTGGACCCTGAGCCGACCGAACACGGTCAGTGGTCCTGCCTGATTTATCGGTAGGCTGGTCGGTGAAACACCCCCCTCCCTGCGAGCCTGGCGGCTAGCTCACGACGGCTAGCTGGCGTTAGCAACTCAAGTTAGCAAATTGGTTACGAGAACGCTTTATAGCCATGCACACGCATTGCACCCTCGTTAAATAAAACACATAAAATTAGTTAGACCACGTATCGCAGGCTAAAGCTAACAAAGTTCACTGAAATCCCGAGGCACGCCACAGTTAGCTTTAAGCTAACTGTGCTACGTTTCTCTGGAATGTCGTTGCCACAAACGTTAGCCTGCAGGCGAGCACCGTCATTATGTTGCAAATCGAGCTGCCAGCGCACTATTATTGTATTCCAACCCGTGCATCGATTATAAAGAAACCCTCAAATTTACCCTTGATGTGACTGGTTGCTGGTAGGTGTCCACAGGTCATCAGTCAACATTGTTTTGGTTGAAAGTGGCAGTTCACAACACGCTGGCTGGTTCTGTTAACCTTCTCTCGTCGTGTCCTCGCTACATGGCTACATCAAACAGCAAAACAAAAAACACGTCGGCGCGGCCGTGTTCTGCCCGTTTTCAGGTTCCCAGATCCAATTTTGCAGAGTGTTCATGCAAAACGTCACACTGGTTACGCTCTTGCAGCTAACCTCTAGGAAAAACATACAAAATGGAGATCAAGGCAAGGCCAGCGTTGCCCTGTTTACAACGAGCAGCTCTGCCACCTGCTGGCGGAACCTGGTAACTGCAGCGCCCATCAGAGCTCCTCTCTGAGCGTGAAAAAGAAGAATAGTGGTCTGAATTTTCAAACACCACTCCCTTTTATCGTGAAACAAACTTCCAGATAAGATTTGAGGAGACAGACACCCTTTATACCTTTAGGACTACATTGAAAACTTTTATTTTAAGCTTAATGTTGGTTCTGCTCCAATGAATCTCGGGGGACCCGAAACTCTGAGCATGTTTCTTGTTATCACTGATATAATTAAATACCTTTATTTTAATTAGTCTTGTTTTCTTCATTATTTCATCAGGTATTTGTTTCTGTGTTTCTCTGCTCAGTCTTAGCCGGTCAACGCAGATTGCCACCCATCCCGATTCTGGTTCGGCTGGAGGTCTCTTCCTGTTAAAAGGCAGTCATTCCTCTCCACTGTCACCCACTGTGCCCCATCAGGCCCGAACTGAAGCTCCATGGTGTTTGTAATTTGCTCTATGTGGATGAAACTGGCCTGTTTGTTTTAACCCTACAGTGCTTTGCAGATTACTTTTGTGTGAACTAATGCTATCCAAATTAGATTAAGTGATTTTTAAGGTTTAAATAAATACAAAAGAAAATTATTATAGCCGACACAGAAGTCCCAATTAAGTTGCAGTTTACCTAAAATCATCTTGTGTTAAGAAACGGTGGACTTTTTGGTGAAATTTGTTTGTATTCTGAGCCTCACCTGATTTTAGTCCAATGTCTGAAAAATCGACTGAGCCATGGATCAGTTGGCTGCAGTGTCCGTCTTGAATGGAGTTGACTTTAAAGTTAATCAGTTGTTCATCCAATAATTACTTTTAGAGTGTTTTAATAAAATCCATCAAGTGGTTTGTATGCTCCAGACAAAAACACTTACACAAGCACATTCCACAGACACGGGCAAAAACATTAATGCATTTTTGCCTCTGGCAGAAAACCTTAATTGCACATCGTAAAAGAAAAACAATTTCTACAAACTGAAGCATTTCAAGCACAAAAACCTGACTGTTTTTTTTTCTTTTTACAAAATACAACAATTTATAACCAATCGACTACAAAGTAGAAAACATTTCATGAATAAATATTTCTAAAAAAAATTTTTATCCATCTTTACATTGAAGAAAAAGGCCGAGTACAGACATCTGTACAGAAAGTATCCATGTCTTATAGTGATGTGTAGGCAAAACTGCATTTTGAGGTATTGTAGTGATGAAAACAGGCTCACTTGTGGATTACAGCACAACCAGTGTTGACATGATGCAACAAATGATGCAACACAGCACGAGTCACAGCGGCGTAAATAACATGCGCAGGTCAATTCAGATGTAATCCTATTAACTGCAATACTAGTTTATTGCAGTTCAAATCAAACCTTTGTCAATAAATTCATTTTTATGTGTAAATCATTAAACTGAAATGTGTCTCCAGCTTTCCTGATGCACTGCCCTCTAGGGGCTCAGGAGAGAGTTTAGCAGCAGGAAATGAATTTAAAATGATCATATTATAAGGTTTAATTGAATAATGCATTTAATGTTTCCCTTTAAGAAGGGTAAGCAAAATAAGCTCGTCTAAAGCGAGTGCTTGCTTGCCAGAAAGTGATAAATCTATTGTGTTTCTCGAAAACACTCGGGTTCACACCTCGGCCTCTGTTGTGTGAAAATGTGAGTGGATAAAAATTGAGTGGGAGAAGAGGAAATAGGACAAGGGAGGCTGTATGGGAAGAAGGGATAATAACTCTGCAGAGAGGTTTGGGTCTGTATAATTTGATGGTTTATAAGACAGGCGTTCACTCAATTAACTGTAAATTCCTAAATGAGAACCGCTAAAAGCCCAGACTTCTGAATTTGGGATGTGGGAAACGTGCGCGTTTGTTCAGGTTTACTCTGCACATTTAATGTGAAATGCCTTTCACACAAACTAAACCACGGGTTATGATGCAAAGCCTCCATTCACATCTGAATGTTCCTGCACATGCAGACTTCTTCATGCTCAGCTGGGAGCCATATTGTTTTACATTATTCATGCTGAAGTTGCATGAAATTCAACCCCCTTTCCAAAAACCAGAAACTAACCTGGGAGATTCTTTTTTTTTTCCATAAAGCAGAGACAGAAAGCAGGAGATTTTTCTCCTAATTGGAAAAGGATGAATCTAAAATGAGCTTTTACTTCAGGCAGCAGGTGATAAATCTGTGAACTTATGGGTGTAAAGTTCACCTTAATGTTATGATCCCACAATCCACAACAACATCCCAAGACCATTGATGATAATGTAAATGGCACAAGCTCACATCACATGAGAGAGAGAAACGATCAGTGAGCTTGCTGTGGCACTAAATCCCCACTGTTTAAATCCCACTCAGTCCCCTGCGGCTGCTTAGCAACCCCTCTCCAGCACAATATACTCTGAATTACCCGGGTGAAGCGTGACCGCATCCTCCTCAAAACCACGAGTCAAGGGTGCTCTCCCATCATGAGCACCGCAGCAGTCAAGTCCCCTCGATTCATCGGGATATGGCGTCAGATAAACACGTCAAACACGCGGGCTTGAGTGTGGACGTACAAACAGATGGACAAGAGTCAAAGTGGGCCCCGGATCGAAGGGTTTTACTTGATTTACAACATTTTCCACATAGAAATAAACAGAGTTGTTAAATTCTTTCAAAAAACATTGTTCTTTTTGATATCTTATCAAAATTCCCACTCCTTAACCGCTTACATAATCTTACATGCATTACATGTATAATCTATAAATATAACAACTAGTCCCATATTTATCCATCAATATAGTATCTATTTAAGTTAACTATAGTAGATGAACAATTATTATTCCTTTAACTTCACCAAAACAAAAGCATCAATAACAAATAGTAAAAACAACAACAACAATAAATGAATAATATTATTATATATTATATCCAGCAATAATCACAAGTTTATAGGATAATTTGAACAGTTTTATGTTTGGACATTGTTTAAGTTCAATATTCAAATTATTCCACAGTTTGACTCCACTTACTGATACCCAAAAGTTTTTTCCAGTAGTTCTAATTTTGCATATTTTAAACTGTGCTTCCCCCTTAACGTATAAATTTGCTCCTTAATTTTAAACAGGTTTTGAATGTTTTCTGGTAATTGATTATTTTTTTGCTTTGTAAAGAATTAGAGCTGTCTGTAGTTTCACTATGCCAATGAACTTTGATAATTACCAAAAGGAACCAAAATTTAAAAACTTTGTCTGAGCCACGGGCCACTTTCAGCTGATACATTAACTCGAGTCAGATACCCGATATCTTTTCTTGGTTGCAGGTTCATCAACAACAGTTTGGTCTGTCTCATTTGACATTCTGTTGCTCTTTCCACACCAGAATCAGTAATAATAGAATGACCCAACCTTTTTTCTGGCTTTAAAGTTAGCCACCCGGTAAGAGAAGTCTATAGTAGGTGAACAAGGCCAGGCTGATTCTGGCAGATCCTATTCATCCACTCCATGGTGAGTTCAGGTTCAGGTATCTGCAGCTCAGATATAGAACGAACAGACTGAAAAACTCATTCATCCCTTCAGTGATCAGGCTTCTCAATGAACAGTGATGCTCTCTGTGTTATTTTAATGTCTTGTACTATGGATGTTTTGTGTGCCTACACAAAATGCCCCTCTGGGGATAATAAAGATTCTTGAACTTGAACTAAATTATCATTTTTTTAATGAAAAAAAAAAGAAGAGATACAATATTTTACATTTAAATTATCTTCTTGGTGGACCAGATTTGGTAGCAGCTCTTGAGATTGACATATGTGCTAGACTTTTCTACTTTTAGCTAGCCTTTGGCTACATTTGGCTAGAGTTTTGCTACACAACTTTTAGCTCATGTTTGCTTCTTTTAGCTGTTGGCTTCTTTGAAGTTTTAGCTATAGTGTCCTGCATTTTTCAGCTTTCTCAACCAGCTTCAGTAAACGCCAGCCGTGGTTCAGCACTCCCACAGCATTTCTCCGGTTATCGTTGTTGCAGACGATGGCAGGCGTTGTCAGTCTCGACTTCAGCTTCTTATTTCCTCCAAAGTAGATTTTCCTCCTTTAAGTACTCAGCTTCAGATTTGCTGCTGACTCTGTGACATATATTCACTTAGCGGGTGCAGAGCAATAAGTCCCCAACCCCCACATCTCACTGCATAATCCAGAAGAAGATATTACAATCAGAAGTGTAGATTACTCAGATAAACAGACATGATGTGGTTTCACTTGCATGTGTTCCTTTGTCTGTGTTAGCAAAATATCTCATCAACCACTTGACATATTTAAACAAATCTCTCAGAAATTAAGCATTGGATTGTCTTAACAAACCTGATTCAAGATGGTGGCCACAGCACAAAGCACAAAAAATGGCTAACTGAGTCAAATGGACAAACACTGAGCTAACATTTGTTTGGGCAGTAGCTGAGAGTTATTCTCAACACGTACTCTGAGTGCATCGCTTGAGATCTTTGTTTAAAACTTTGCCATTAACTGTTGGAGTCAAATCTGTTTGTCTGTTAGCAAAATATCCCATGAACCAATGGTTATATTGTGTTGAATCTCTCAGAAAGTAATTAATGAATATTCATTTACAACTGATTAACATTTGGAGTCAGCCCAATTCAAGATGGCTGCCACAGCCAACTGATCTTAGGAGACACAAAAACAGCCTTAATGCCATCATATTGTGTTTAAATTTGTTGTGGTAGTAGCTGAAAGTCATCCCCATCACATACTCAGAATGTGAACAGATGTGAGATTAAGTATAAAATTATTTTCAGCAACAACTACATCATTGTTCAAAATGACCTGAGACTAAAATACGGCATGAAAAGAAATGAAATGCCGTCCTTCAAAAAATCCTCTAGACATTATTATTATTTTTATTTTTATTATTTTTATTAGTCAGAGGGTGAATGATGCAAAGAGCAGTGGTGATATTTCAGTTGTGCCCATGAAGTTCTGAAATGAGAACCTCCACCTTGGAGTCAAATCAATAATGAGTGTAGAGATCCACTTTCATATCCTGTCACAGCGGTCTGCATGAAGGAAGTCACACCAGTGACCGACGGCTCAATGACATACAAACATTAAAAAAGAAATAAATGGAGTGTGTGGGGGGGGTTGTATTTGTAAGGCCCATTTTTCCAACACATACTAGAATGTGAGGACCAACTGCTCCTTATGGGGCCCAAAGCCTGGGCCCCATAAGGAGCAGTGTGTTGGTGGGTTAGGTTAATGGTCAGGGTCAGGCTATAGAAATTAAGGAAAAATGAATGGAAGTCAATGCAAAGTCCCTGTAAAGATAGAAAGACAAGTGTGTGTGTGTGTGTGTGTGTGTGTGTGTGCGTGCGTGCGTGTGTGTGTGTGTGTGTGTCTCACAGTGGATGAGTTTTGGAGCTTGACACCTGCAGACCATCACCACTTCGAAGCGCATGAGCACACAAAGCCTGAAGAACCACCACAAAAAACCACAACAACAACAACGACGTTTCTGAATATCCTGCTGCTGCTGTTGTCCAGTGACCAGAGGAACATTTCAAGAACAACAGTATAAGGATGCCCCCCCACACACACACACACACACACACACACATACACACACTCTTTCCATCTTGATGATAGACACAAAATGACATTTTTCTTTAAGATGATGTAAGACATGAGACTTCACAGGATGACCCCCCCCCCCCCCAGCCATTATTTTCTCCGCGGCACAGCTTGGAGCAACATTATCTGAAACCCTCTGCTGCTTTAGCTGCTTCCGCACTCAGCAGTTTGGAGAGATGTGTGCGCCGAGCTTCCACCCGCCTCCTCCACCTCCTCCACCTCCACCTCCTCCTCCCTGCTCATTTCAGCATCCCAGCACTCAGGAGCAGCGCTTATAGCAGCAGGATAACAAGATGACTTCATGTGGCTTTAATCCGTTTGCATTTTTGGAGGTGGTTAAACTAAAAGAACTAAAACTTTGAAATGTGCGCGTGTTGCATTCATTTATTTTATTTTTTATTTTTGACTTTTTATTCATGGTTGAAAGAGTCCAGAGTGGACGGTCGCCTGAGCGCAGCTGGATGTGTGTAACACGATGCTGGATGGGATGATCGATTCCTGCTGGGAGAGGAGGCAACGCGCACCTTTACGCACGCAGGGCTTGGAGGATGGACAGCGGACGCACCTTGTTCTGTCATGACACGCTGAACCAGGCTCCCCCCGAACCTCTGGAGGACCAGCGGCCATTCTTTTTTTCTCCTCTTGTTTTTGCAACAGCTGAGAAAATAAATTTAAAATAAATTTTAAAAAAATGAGCGAAAACTGCAAACCACCCAAAGAGCAGGGTTCCGTGCAAACCCCTCCAACCGATGTGATCGAGCTGAACGTGGGTGGGCAGGTGTATTACACGCGCCACGCCACCCTGGCGAGCTTTCCAAATTCCCTCCTGGGGAAGCTGTTCTCCAACAAGAAAGGCTCCACGAACGACCTGACGCGCGACCTCAGAGGACGCTACTTCATCGACAGGGATGGGTTTTTGTTCCGGTATGTGCTAGACTACCTCAGAGACAAGCAGGTGGTCCTCCCTGACCACTTCCCGGAGAGGGGGAGGTTGAAAAGAGAGGCGGAGTACTTCCAGCTGCCGGATTTGGTCAAACTTTTGTCCGCGGACGAGTCCAAACTCTTCCCGGATGATGTGTGCTTCAGCGACCGGGACGACGAGTCCCAGGGCAGCGAGCATAGGTTTTACGCGTCCCACTCCTTGGACAGGAGGTACGGCTACGTCACGGTGGCGTTCAGGGGCAGGGAAAGTCACGCGGACCCCAGCAGGGCCAAAAAGTTCCCGAGGATCTTCATCAGCAGCAGGATCGGCCTGGCCAAGGAGGTGTTCGGGGACGCGCTGAACGAGAACAGGGATGCGGACAGGCCGCCGGACCGCTACACCTGCAGGTTTCACCTGAAGTTCAAGCACCTGGAGAGGGCTTTCGACATGCTGTCCGAGTGCGGCTTCCACATCGTGGCCTGCAACACGTCCCTCACTGCGTCCGCCTCCGGGGGCCATTACGCAGAGGACAGGGTCTGGTCCAATTACGCACAGTACATCTTCTACCGTGAGTGAAGATTTGTCTCAGCTCCTGTACAAGTGAGCGCTTATACTTCCTGAAATGCACTAAGAAGTCAACAAACCAAACACATTAAATGCAAACTTGGAACATTAAATACATAAAAAATTGTAACTAATCCCATCTTTCCACCCATTTGACCCTAATCCTTGAATCCCTGCAGCTGCTGAAATAAAACTTGTGTTTAAGGTTCGAGATGTTCCTGATCCCCAGGGAAGTTGAGTCACAATGCTGCTACACGTCCAAGCACACATGCGTCATGCGTAAACACGCGCTTATTGCTCAGATTCTGCAGCCGCCGGGCTATGAATAATAAAGCACCAGTGGGCAGGAGAGCAAAAAGAAAGAAACGCTTCTGCTTCCCGTTGAATCAGTTCTACAAAGATTGCGCACCAGAAATGAACGTAATTAGCAGCAAATCTGTCTCATTTCTTTGCAGAGTGGAGGAGTTAGGTTGGACCATATGGCCAATTAAAATGCAGTTTTGTTTATTATCTTTATTTTCTCCCTTTGGAAAAGTTAAGGAGAACCCAGATTGTGAGAGAAAGGTGGTGGAGGTGCAAGAATCGAGGAGGAGAATAGCAAATTAATCCCAAATGGTGCAGGCACACGTTGCAAACTAAATAAAACAGGAATTATTTTCCTGAATTATATCAAACCGTGCAGTTTGAAGCTCTAGACTCTGAAATGCAGGTATGCACTCAACGTAAACAGATGAATGAGAATGAGAAAGTGTTGGGAGATGGGGGGAAAAAAGTGAGTGTGAGGAGCAGAGAGGGAAAACTGGGAGGATTTAAAGGAAGCCAGCTGAAAGAAAGTGAAGAGGAGCAGATGGATGAGAGAGCTGCTGAGGAGAAGGAGTAGGGATGGAGAGGAGGGGGGGGAGTAAAAGTTGCATGAGACCTGGCCATGGGGGGAAGGAGCTGATGCAGAAAGAAGTGCGAGGGAGCAAAAATAGATTAAAGTAGGGATCAGACAGGAAAGTTCATCGAGTGGAAGTGGAGGGGAGAAGAAATTTATGATGGGATGAGAAGTGTCTTTGTTCGAACGGGACGAGGTGAGAGTTAGAGGAAAGCTGCACTTAATGTAGGCATGAGGAGACAGGGGCCTTGTCAGGATGATGGATAGACACATCAGAAGCAGACAGGCGTGAGAGCTCTTCCTCAGCAGCAGCCCCCGATCCACCATCAGAACGAATACTGTAACCTCGATCTGAATGTGGGCCACCGGCTGGCCCCGAGCGGCTGAACAAAGACACTTTTTTGGGGAAAGATGCGCTTTTGCTTTCGTTTGCTGTCCCCAGCAGAACATTTGGCTGCAAACATCCAGAGTGAAAGGGATCCAGGCTGGGAGTGTAAAACGAGCAATCCAGAGCAGTAAACAAACAGACAGGCGTCCATCCGGCCTGTCACCTTCTCAGCATCGTTCACATTCGTCTTCTTGTTGGATGCACCATCAGTTCACTGACTTTTCCTTCCCGGTGTGATCGGTGCAGACAGTCCTGACCTCATTAGGACTGGCTGCTGCAGCTCATTGTCGTCCTTTCAGCTTGTTTTCTGCAGACAGAACAAAATAACAATAATATGAACACCTTCAGTAAAAGGTCACGCTCATCAACAGGACAGCATCTGAGCATTCATTAAGAGCTTAAAGTGTCTGGCTCAAACGATTAACGTTTACATCCACCTTCTTTATTCATGAAGTCAGAGTTGCTGGATGTTTAACAAGACTTCTAACTAATCAAGACCTTTTCATTTGTGTCACTTATGAGCGAGTGGAGCTGATAACGTCGCTGTGCCAGCAGAAGTGTGTGTTTGGGGGCAGGGGATGCGAGCAGGGCAAGTGGATTTGTTTTTTCAATGTCGTGTAAAGATCTGGTTTAGAGTCATGAAAGAAGATTAAGATGCAAGTTTGTATAAGACAAAACAACAAGACTCAAAAGTAGGAACCTGCTTTGAATCTACGGATTCCTGCTCACAGGAACGGAGGACATCGTTGAACTTTTGGACTGTCAACCCCAGAAGGAGCTTCATCTGATCCACTCTGACAGAGTGTCCTGCAGTCAAAATGAGAAATATTGACTCTAAAAGTAGAGATGTGTCTTTCTGTTTAAACTACTTCATTTTTGGTTTGAAGTGAGATAATGTGTGGCCATGAAGGCGTCTGAACAATGGCCACGAGTCAGCAGGAAGCGACGTGGACAGTAATCAATGGTCTGGGTGCCAGGAAGGCAGAGATCAGCTCGTCGCTGAGCTGGTTGGGCTCCAGATTGGCAAAAAGAGATGGATGGTGTTCCCGTGAATAACTCATTCATGTCTTTAATAGTACCTGCGCAAAGGAATTGTTGGAAGCGAGGGAAGGTGTATTAGAACTCCGTGCACTTTATCAATCCAAGCACACAATCTGCGCCGGCTCTGGAATAAATCTGACTTCACTGAGAAGCTGCAGATACAAAACAGAAAATGGAGTTTTTTTTAATCAATCACCCTTTAAAGCAGCACAAACTGGATCTCTGCTGCGTGTTCAGCCTTTTGGGGAAACAATTTCCTTTACAGAGTTTTGTTAGAACTATTTCAACATTAAATATGTTCAGAAATGGGCCTGCAGAGGAAGGAAATTTAACTTCAGATACTGCATTCTGTATGCAGAGAGCTGAGTGACTTCACTGGAAGAGCTGAAACTGAACTGTTCAAGCTACAAAAAGCAGAATATTAGACCAGCTAACATGAGATAAATGAAAAGCTTAAAAGAGCAAAACACTGATTGACAGCTAAAAGTAGCAAAATAATAGCTAAAAGTCAAAATTAATAAAATGCTTGCTAAGAGCTAGACATATCAAAGGTTAACTTAAATGATCAAAAGGCCTGTTAGAAGCTAAAAGCAGGATGGAAAAAAGCTAAAAGTTGCAAAAGGCTAGCTGAATAGCAAAAGTAATATTTAAAGCTAAAGTAGTAAATTACTTGTCCAAAACTAAGTAGCAGACTAGTAATTTCCATCCATCCATCCATTATCTTTACCCGCGTATTCCATTTTGGGTCGCCGGTGCCCATGTCCAGCAATCACTGTGCGAGGGGCGGGGTACACCCTGGACGGGTCGCAAGTCCATCACAGGGCCACATAGAGACAAACGACACAAACAACCATTCACTCTCTCACTCACACCTATAGGGACAATTTAGAGTTACCAATCAGCCTAACATGCATGTTTTTGGTCTATGGGAGGAAACCGGAGCACCCGGAGAAAACCCACGCATGCATGGAGAGAACATGCAAACTCCACCCAGAAGGCCCCTGGACCGGGGTTTGAACCAAGGACCTGCTCGCTGAGAGGCAGCAGCTCTACCAGTTGCGCCACCGTGCTGCCCGACCAGTAGTTTAAAACAGTAAAATGTTAGCTAAAAGCTAAAGGTAGGAGAATGTTAAAAACTAAAAGTTGCTTAAAAAGACAAAAATAGAGCATGTTGGTTAAAGCAGATGTCAGAGGCAACAATGTTTCTGAAGTAACTGAAGAAAGCTTAAAGTAGTTTTATGGGGAATTTTTTTGTTAATAAAGATGAAAATATTGAAATGTATAAAAGTTACAGTAACTAAAAGTAATAGCTCCCATCTCCTGAATGAGCCGACCATTTGGATACACGAATGGCTAAAATAGCACAAAGTCTGCAGAAGTAGTTGGATTACAAAAAATGTACAGAAAAATGAGAAACTGAAGAATAGTTGTGTGAACCTGCTGAGCTGTTATAGGTTATTTATAATTAGGTTATTTATACTTAGGTTATTTATAATTAGGTTAACAATTACTTTAATATTTTTAAGTTGGGGACGAAATCCATCCATTATCTTTACTCGCTTCTTTCTTTTTGGTAGTCGGGGGGGGGGGGGGGGGGTGTCTCATTGGTGCCCATATCCAAGAGTCCAAGTGGGTAAAAGATAATGGATGGATGATTATTATTGACCACCTGCTGGAATGGCAGATGAGCACAAAATTGACTGATTGTGTTTTTGTTTGTTTGTCATTTAGCAAAATATCTCACGAACCACAGAACCGACTGGTATTAAACTCTCTAAACGTAACGAGTCTAAAAGTTAAACATCTAAAACTGATTAACTTTTGGAATCTATTCAGTTCAGCGTGGCTGCCACAGCTAATTAACCTTAGCAAACACAAAAGTGTTTATAACAGTCAGTCCAGTTAGGCTGAGGTGTGGTAGTAGCTGAGAGTCATCCACAACACACACTTCAAACGGTAAAGGATCACGCAATATCTTTGTTTCAAATTTGGTACGGAGCACGGTGGGTGAAATGCGTTTCCTTTAGGAACGATAGTTTTATTTATTGTGTTCTTAAATTTCTAGCAAAGCACTTTTTTGATCCCGACTACAAAAGTGTAGAGGTTTCACAGATTATTATTATTTTTTTAAAAGCACACTTTTGCTGTAAGTTTCACATGCAAGTTATGAAAATCAAGAGGTAACACACACCAAACAAGCCTCAGACCAATTACCAACATTTAGACACTGGAACTGCTTGGCCTTTATCTGAAACACTGTTTTTGTCCCCGATTCAGCTTTTTCTGCACCATAAAGCTGCTGCAGGTATAACAGTTCATCCTGAGACATTTAACACCTTAACGATCACTCCCGAGGCACCTAGTGGCTTCTTGGATGTGAATCTCCTCGCTCCGCAGGATGCTGAGCCTTTTCTGAAGACACCTGGATTCCCTGTGTTGGGATGCAGGAGGTGACCTTTGCAGATCCTGGTGTTTGTGAGGCTCAGTGTACGTCTTCTTCAGGCGTGGCTTCATTTAGAGGGCGATAAGATGCTGAGACGGATCGGACACCTTCTTCCGCCCTTGCTTAATCAGGGCTTGTGCAGAGAAAAAAAAGGTGTGGCTCAGGGTCAAAGGAGAGGCTGATGTAGATGTTTAAATCTGCCTGTGTTGCTTGTTCGTCTCCCTGTCAGGGTGACACTCAGTCGACTCATGGCGG